GATAGATAGATAGATAGATAGATAGATAGATAGATAGATAGATAGATAGATAGATAGATAGATAGATAGATAGATAGATAGATAGATAGATATTTTAGCCTCAGAGTGGTCATCTTTGTAACAGACGATAGATCTTTTTGATCATGTATGTTTTAGCCTCAGAGTGGTCATCTTTRTAACAGACGATCTGTGATCCGCACTCTGCAGTAAGGTAGGAGCAGCGTTCGGTTCTGGATCTGAGATGGAGTGAGACGCAGAGGACGACCAAGCGTCTAAASCGCTGTTGTGTGGTTTGTTACAGGAAGGAAAACGTTGAGGTGAGTTAATTWTTCGAGTTACATGATAAGTTTGTGTGGGAGATTTYCCCCATCGTGTTGGTTAAAGTTTCGACTGAGAGTATTTCACGAACGAAGCTGSCTAATAATTCCAGTCGCCTCTGTGCTGTGTGTGTTTTTAGCCTGATTTTAACGAAGATGACGAAACTTGTTTGAAGAAACAGCCAAGCGTAGGTAAGTTTGAACAGCTTCAGGTTGTGTCGGTAACATTATTATTCAATATATACAGATGTTAGATAAATACCAGTTACCGTGTGAGTCAGTCAACATGTTTGCGGTTGTGCTAAGCTAACTTGAGCCATAGCTTCAGACAGTACAGTGAGCTACTGTAGAAGATAATGCTAACACTAAATGTAAATGCTCACACACTAAATGTAAACGTGTTGTGGTTTTACATTTCCCACTTTTAATTGAAGTCTGACAGCGTATTTTTCTTTTTAAGTTTGGGGTAACTTGTTYGGCAAGGTCGTTTGTAGGCTGCAAGTAAAAACCTATTTATCTTTTTGAGCATCCTCATTAACCYCCAACCCTTATTTTCTATGACAACTTATCCAATCTGCTAACCTGTTCATGCTGCATTATTAAGATCCAGTTTGTGACCAAATACATGTGTCTTCACCTGAACTGGATCCCTCTGGTCCTACACTGACCAATTTTGTTCTGAGACTCAAAATGAACATTTCTCACCGTAGACACTACAGTGCATTTATTACTGATTTGTTTTAGAGTTTATGTTAAACCCAGACCACTTCAAACATCAAGTTTCTACTCTACAGCTGCTTTTCTTCTGTTACCTTGGATGACACACAGATCTATGATTTTAAGTGCAAAACTTCTGGCCTGTCCTGTATGACTAGTTGACTGTCATGTGAGAACTGACGAAACCTTTTCAAGTAGTTCATAGAGTGGGAATATGTTTACTAAGAAGTCATCTGTCACATTGATTGTTTGACTGAACTTGAGCATCTTCTATGTTTTACCTGAACATCCGTTCTCACCTTCTCTTGTTCAGTTTCGAAATGGAAAACTGCAACATTAACCACACGAGAAACCTTGTTTTGTGGACCCAGATGAAGTGACATGGCAATGATCTGTTTTTGAAGTACGCTGGGTTTGGGTTTGATCATATAAACCTCACATCCTGGCTCCCCCTTAAAAAAAGTGTTACCAAGAATCCTTACAAGTACAAAGTGGAATGCTGTGTCATTGGCTACGTTCACACTGCAGGCAAATCCGACCCAAATCCGATTTTTTTGATCCATCTGACTCATATCCGATTTTTTTATGACAGTCTGAACGAGACAAATCMGATTTTTTCAAATCCGACCCAGGCCGTTTCAGTATGTGGTTTTAAATCGGATATGTTTTCAAAGTGACTGCAGTGTGAACGCTCATGTCACATTCCATCTGACTTTTTCATCAGGAGGAGGAGGTGAAGGATCGATAAGACACTAACCTCAAGTCTCACTGTTTAAATCTGCAGCTCCATGTGTTTACAGCTCCAAAACACAAGTCCAGTTGCTTCATCTTTTTACTTTTCATTTTCCACGTAGATAGTATGATAATAATGGTCCAGCCTGGGTCGCTGAGAGTATCGATCCTAAAGTTAGCTACTCGGTCGATACTATTTTCCAGCTCGTAGTTTCGTTTAAAAAAAACGCTTCACTGGAGCATCCCGGTCAGAGGCAGCTTCATATATAAACACTGAACTAAAGAAGCATGTCAGATAATTATTTAATCAGCTCTGATTAAACAACAACTTCCGATTCGATGTGCAAAAAGTAGCATCCATGCTAGCTCTGTAAACAAACAAGCCGGCTGATGAGACGTCACGTCTTTTACTGCGCATGCGCGTCACATCAGTGCTGTGGAGCGTTCACACAGGGGTCTGATACAGGTCACATTTAAAATGTAATGTGAACGTTCACACAAAAAGATCGGATTTTTTTCAAAAAATCGGAACTGAGCATTAAGACCTGCAGTGTGAACGTAGCCATAGACACAGTTTGTGGTTTCAAGGAAGGGGGGGGTAATATAAACATGTAGTTTTAAAACTGCTGCTGACGAAGACTATTGCCAGAAATGCTCTTAATGACAATTTATATTTTGAACTATGTTAAGAGTGAAACTGTGGTAAAGACGATAATGGAACAAAACCAGCATTGTGGTAAATGTCAGTGAACTGAAAAATAAACAAGTGAGAGCCTTCTTGAGCTATCATTTAGTTATCAAAGTATGAGATGGGTCTCAGCTACTATCACACCCAAATTTGAGCTTGATATRTGTAAAAATGGCCGAGTTATAAACGTTTTTGTGTTTGCTAAAGTCAAAAAACACGTGAGACAGGGTGCGTTCACACCAGCTTTGTTTATTCTGCTTTAATCAAACTCTAGTTCGTTTGCCTGGAAAGTCTGGTTCATTTGGGGAAGTGCAAACGTGTAATTGAACTCTTTATTCGGACCAAAATGTGAATTCTGGGCCGCCTGCAAACGTAGGTCTTAGTTTGGTCGATGCATACTCTGGTGCGGTTTGATTGCATGTGTGAACGCCAAGCGGACCAGTGACCACTCCAGAAGCAGGAAGCGGACTATAACCAGGGTTGCACATAAAGTTTTTGGTCTGGTTCTCAGGGGAGAACCTGGTTATTGCTTGGTGCTCATATTTTCCTTCACTCATTAAACACATTTATCTAGAGGGGTGTCAGGGCATCTTAACGTCTTCCTGTTCTGTTTTATGACTCCTATCAGCTGCAACGTCTCAGGACATCATGCCAAATCAGTCCACCGAGTTTTTATTTTATTCTTTTACTCTGCATAAATTTTATAAACTACCTAAGTGGCCAAGAGGCTGGGTGTCATATAAACATCACAAACTGAACATTTTATGGTTAAATGTCGTTTAGACTACACATGTCTCTCAGATGGACAACTCCTGTAGTTTGGTCTTCTGCATCTTCGGCCTTGTTTAAACCAGCTTTCCAGACTCTCCAATCCAAGCTGCAAATAGCTGTCTTTTGCACAGAGCAAAAATAACTTAAAACATACAAATGCTTTATTTGTTAGACTGATTTATTTTTTAAAAGAGTATTTTATTCAAAAATATTATATTATTTAGATGGTTTCAGCTCATGTAATCATTTAATCTTCATATGATCATTTAATACATTAAATTTATCCCAGAAAAGCTGTGTCACAGTATGGTCCTAAATATAAATAAGTTTAGCACATCAAGAACCTTGTTTTTTTGATACAATTGTGAATGAAATTTGTGAATCTTTATGATAAATTAAAATAACATTTAAAACTCATTCACCTAGAGAACATGGCAAGTTTTTTTTTTTTAATATATATAATTTTTTTATGGGGGTGTTGTTAAACAGAGAATCATCTTTGCTTTAATATGGGGCAAACAAATGTTCTGTAAACAGTGAATCTCACGGAAAGGCTTGCGTGCGCAGCGACACGCTCCCGTCACAGCAGTCTCTCTGGAGGAGGGAGTTTAGTCACTCACACAAAGTTGGACAGATCTSTTTGATAACAACGCTCTGAACATATTTAATATAAAGTTATGTTTTACAGACCAAAGTCTGGTAGTTCAGGAGTAAAGTGCAGCAGGAGATGTCAGGACTGACCGCTGCAGCCGCTGCTTCAACCTGCACTTTGCCTCTGCTGAAAACTGCTCTCACTGAAAGTCCCGCCCTGCTCTGCTCTGATTGGATAGAATGACTCTGGACTTCATCTGATTTGTTGAAGGCAGTGTCYGTTCAATCCTTGTATCAGGGTCCCGCTGCCCTTAGAGGCTTGGTGAGCACCGAACAACGATCCAGTCACACCAGTGCGGCTGGATTTTTACTTATTTTAAAAAAAAAAATCAGGTCACGTTTGCAACCAAACTGGTCGCACTCTAGAGCCCTGCTAGCTGTTGGTTTGACAGACAATCTCAGGTACAATCTTAGGTACGCAAGTGAGCTTTATGACATTCCATCTGGTGCGCTTTTTCTTTTTTTTTTTTATYGCGCACGCGCACCTGCGCACCGCTTATGTGCCACCCTGACTAAAATGCAGGACTTTCTGAGTAATGTAGTAAAGTTGTTCATCTTGTAAATACCTCTCTCGACATTTGTATAAGGTGGACATCACGGCTGTGAAGTTGGATATGCTCCTTAGTGAATGCTGCTTCACATGGAGCTGTCTCGGCTGCCTTGTGTGGAAAACAACATTCTCTGGGGTTACCCCTCATCTTCCACTCATGTTGATCCCATTGTTGAAAATTATTTGTCTGGCACACTTTCCAAAAACAAAAAATAAATCCTACAACCACTAAAATCTGACATTACTCCATATTTATTTACATTTTGTGAAGAGGGAAGTTGCACTCCATGTCTTCTTCTATGGTTTTTTCTGTTGATTCCTTTAGTGGGCTGATTGTCAGATAGTGTCCGATTAACCTTCAGGGTAGATAAGAGCACACACAGCCTTGCACCGAAAAACCTAGTGAACATTATTGTTTACCTGGCATGCTTTACAGCATTAATAAAATGGCGCATGCAGTCCTCTTGACAATATATTTTTTCAAAATTTATAAAAGTAAAGTTTACAGTATTTTCACAAGTTTATCATCAAAAAATGTCTAATGTTACAAGTAATCGAGGATCCCTTTAACAAACGGGAACTAAGCTTCCTAGATAAACACTCAAAGGAAGGAAAAAATAGGTTAAACACAAACCCTTCAGACATAATAATGTAGACAACAGAATAGAATCATATGTCCATCAAAATGAAAACCTATTGGAATTTGGAGACAGCATAAATTGTTGGAATGGAGAGAACGAGTTTTGTTGAGTGGGAGGAGCAGCTCTGTAAGGTAGAGGGGGTATTTCTATGTACTCACTGGTGTGTTAAAAGACCGATCTTGTTCTGGATTATAGCAGGGACAGGAAGCCAATGTAGAGGACTGGTGTGATAGGCTGATGTTTTTTAGTTTGTGTCAGAAGCCGGGTGGTGCTGTTTTGGATGAATTGAAGTTTTTGAAGATTTTTATTTGAGATGCCAGAAAGAATGGAATTGCAGTWGTCCAGTCTTGATGATACAAAGGCATGGGCAAGTGTTTCTTATCAGGCAAAAAAGTGATGGAATGAGACTAGCAGTGTTTTAAGATGAACAAAAAAGGTTTTACGCAGGTGTTTTACGTGGGTGTCAAATGAAAGGTGAAGGTCAAATTGGACAYAAAGGTTGGAGATAGTGAAGGAGAGAGTGATGCCCTGTCCAGAAAAGGTTATAGCTTTAATGTAAGATGGCTGAACTTGACAAGGGRTGCCAATCAACATGGCCTCCGTTTTGGAACTGTTCAGTTGGAGATAGTCTTCGTTCATCCTTACATGTCCTCCAGACATGCAGTGAGTGTGGAGAGTGAAGATGAGGGAGATGTAGAGAACGATGCAGATTGATGGTCCGTTTTTATATAAAGCTGAGCGTCATCGGCATAGCATTGAAAGGATATTCCATGGTAACTGATGACTTGTCCAAGAAATGACATGCTAGATAACCCTGACCTTGATGATTGAGAATCTTATGCATTTGCTTTTAAAGTTTTTTTTTTTGGTCATTCTTTAAAAGGGTGGCACAGTGGCTCAGTTGCTAGAGCTGTTGCCTCTCAGCAAGAAGGTTGCCGGCTCACATTCCGGCCAAGGATCTTTCTGGGTAGCGTTTGCTTGTTCTCTCTGTGCATGAGTGGGTTTTCTGTGGGTACTCCGGTTTCCTCCCACTTGACCAAAAACATGACTGTTAGGTTAATTGGTGACTCTAAATTGTCCGTAGGTGTGAGTGAGAGAGTGAATGGTTGCTTGTCTCGTTAGTCTCTATGTCCAGTCAAATCTAATCCCACTTTATTTGTAAAGCACGTTTATGCASCACAGCAGACCAAAGTGCCTTACAGAATCAACATTCAAACAAGGCTCATGCAAAACAAATTTAATCGAAAAACTCAGGAAAAATAAAAGCAGGAAATAAAAACAATAAAATGCCTAAAATCTAATTAATAATCTACAGTAACATCAAGAAAATTTCTGCAAATCTCTATATGGCCCAGTGATGTACCTCGCCCTTCGCACAGTGACCACTGTGACCCTGAAATAAAGAAGTAGGTAAAGGTGATGGAAGGATGGATTCTTTGATAGGGGAAATAATTAATTTTTTAATGTATTTAATTAAGCAATAAATATTAGATTTAAGTGTCTGTATTGCAATAATACTGGTTTGTCTGTTCACTTTGAACTCAGTCCTATGCCTGTTTAGTTTACGTKTAGTTCCATTTTTGCCTTGTGCCCCAAATAAAACTAAAGTGCACATTTGTAGCTGACTCATGCACAGTCCTTCGTTTGCAGGATCGCTAAACTCCACTGATTGGTCTCTCTTGTGACAATCAGTGTTTGTGTGGTGCTGAGATAGTCCCCTCTGAGTGCTGCCCTTTTTTCATGTCTGTGTGTCAAATGGGACATCTCGGGTACATGCAGGCCAGGCACTAAACTGAGATGCTCACAGCTCAGAGTCTGCACAAAACAACCAGGCCTTTTGTCCCTTCTCTTTGCCTCATGTTCACCCACACAGTCCTCATAATGTCGTGGAGAAAGAGTGTCTTTATCTTTGCTTTCCACCGACTCATCTCAGTCCCATATTTTGGGTCCTGTCCGAGAAGCTTAAACAGGCTCTGCGACAATATATGCTTCCAGTAACTCTTTATCCACCCACACAAGCTCTGACATTGAAATCATGTAACCATTCACATGCAGGCAGAGGAACTTTTAATCATTTACTTTTTTTTTTGTTGATTAACAGAAGACTGGAAGTTTCAGGGATATGTCTAATTCAGGTTAAATATACACATTTCTGTCCTGCACTGATCCTTTGGTTGTGTCAAACATGGCTGAATGCAGTGGTGGTCTTTTTTTTTCTGACGATGCTTAAAGAGAGTGCTCAGTTGCAGGTGGGAGGAGATAGAAGGGGCTGGACAGAGGCTTGCCAAATCAGATGAGTGAGCAGTTAGGAGGAGGAAACTCAGAAAGTGAAAAAGGAGATGACTGCAAAGGAGGTGGA